TATGTAATAAAATTTATTTCTAATACTTTAATCACTGCCTGCCTGAACTAGAATAAACCTGTGTTTCAGGCGATCGCTTGACTTAGAGTATTAAACAAACTTGATTTAGATATTAATGTCCAGAATAATAAATACGTAATAATATGTATATAATACGTAACAATAACAGAATAATAATGAAAATAAAAATACTACATAGTGTACACGTGCAAAAGCAATTCACAAACATACGTAATAATAATTTCTAACATATTTTATGTTTCCGCATAATTTAAGTTTCTTATTGTTCTAAGCTATATATATTTAGTATCTTATTAATTTTATAATATAAGAAAGATCCTAAGAATAAATAAAATGTCTTAACAAACACTACAATTATTTTGATTATTAGGCATAATGAGTTATTGGTGCGAGTAAATTGTCAGTAGTCGGCACATATTCTCTTCGACATCACAATATTTAACTTCAGACAGAAAAATGATCTAGGCCACAGAGCTACTGATTAGTCATTACATATTAAATATAGATAGGTTTAAGTGCTTACGCTAAAAAAATCAATTACGCTCTTAGACGCCCTCATAGTCTATAGAATTTAAATATTTATCCTCAGCATATTTCCGAGCTGGGCAAGTTGCATCACCAGTTTGGTGATCACTTTTCCGTTTGAACCTTTTGCACGTCGCACAAGTAGGTGGTGTAGATTTGTCGTTGCAATCCTTAAAGGAGTGCCCGGACTCTCCACAGTGATTACAGGTTGGGCTAGTTTCCCGGCAATATTTAGCTGCATGTCCAAACTGCTGGCAGTTAAAGCACCTGGTCACCAGCGTGAAGTCTCTAACGGGACAGGAAGTTCAATTTATGTAAATTCTGCCTTGATTTATGAGCGCTTTTCTAATATGAGCCGGTACCTCAAGAATATAATTACAGATAAGAAGGCTTTTTTTACCTGATTTGTGGCTAAGTTTGATGGTATTCAGACAGGACTCACGAGAATCGTCAGGAAACTTGTCTGCTAAATTCTGCTCATAGATGCACTCAAGCACCTCCTTTTCAGTCAGGGCGACGGGTACACCTACGACAGTAATTCTTGGTTTGCGTTTTGCAGGTTCTTCGACTTTAAGGCCTGATGACGCTAATTTCTTTGACTGCCTCAATTTCTCAATGTCTAATTTAGATTCGGCACTAATAATAACACCCCCATTACTCACTTTTCTAAGGCCTCTAACATGAAGTTTTAGTTCCTCGGGTGAAATTATTTTTTGGACTAGAGGCTTAGTATCTTCACTAGTCTTGGTCTTGTCGCTAGGATAGATGGCAAGGGTACTAATATTGCTCGGACGAACTAACTTATTTGGACCTTTTTTTACCATATCGGCAAAAGAGCTATGTTCCTGTGGTCTCAGCTTTTCTTCAACAACTGTTTTGAATCGATTTAGGGAGCTCGCAACATCTTTGGTTTCCTGTAGGTGCTGTATGGTGGTATGCGCAAGGATAGTCTTCTGCTTTAATTCAAATTCAAATTCAAATTCAAATCCTTTAATTCAGACATAGTCCATAGGGTTAGTACAAACAAAGAAACTTACGAACTAAAGTTAGTAAACACAATAATTATTTTGGTGACCGGTGTGGATCTTTGCCCAGTGGCGCAACAGAGGGGAGTCCCACCGATCCGTAAACACCTTCAGGACACTGCTAGTAGCGGTGCGCAACCGGCCGGCCATGGATGCGGTCCTCTTTCTTAAGATTGCGTAAAAGTCGTCTGTGTGCGCCTCCGCAAACATACCGGACGCACTACAACGCCACGACAGCCCCAACAGCATCCTGAACGCGTTATTATATTGGACGCGCAGGTCGCTGCATGTCCTCTGCGTAAAACTGGTCCAAAGACTGCACGTGTAAAAGGACTGGCAGAATGCTTTAAAAAGTGTAACCTTTACTTGATTTGTACAGCGTGAAAATCTTCGAACCAGCATGTTACATCGAACAGCCAGCGATCTGCGCTCCCTCTCTATATCTAAATTATCCTTAAGATCATCAGTGACCCAATGACCCAAGTACTTAAATTTAGTCACCCACGTTAAAGGGGTGCCACATATCGTGACACCAGGGACATTTGAATATGTTATGGCCCGCGCTTTAAACATAATAAGTTCGCTCTTCTTGACATTGTACTTAAGCCCATGGGCCGCTGCATAGGACTCACAGATCGCCACAAGTTTCCTCAAAGCGCTGATCGATGGGCTCAGCAGCACCATGTCATCGGCATAGCTAATGTTATTAATACAGACGCCATCAATATGACACCCAACTCTGGTGCTGCTGAGGTCACTTATAAGCCGGTTAATGTAAAAGTTAAAGAGACGGGGCGAACTCAACCCCCCCTGTCTCACCCCGCACTCCAACCCATACACATCTGATTGAGCAGCTGCCCATCTCACACTATTTGTCTGATTATAGTACCAGTAACGAAACAAGGACGTAATTTCATTCGGTAGTGTCGTATCCCTCCGCACTTTATCCCATAGCACCTCGTAGGACACCAGGTCGAACGCCCTTGACAGGTCCAAAAAACAGGCAAAAACAGGTGTCTTTCTGGAGGTATAATATTGAACAGTTTGCTTGAGGCACAGAATGGCACTCTCAGTAGATAGACCAGGTTTGAAGCCAAACTGCGCGTCATGGAGTTCAATATGTTTAGCCAACTGTTGATCAAGCAAACTGTCCAAGACCTTGGCGATTATCGTGGCCAACGAAATAGGCCTATAATTGGACACGTCAGAGGCATCCCCCGTCCTGTCCTTAATGACTGGTACTACCACAGTGCGCATGAGGCCCTCCGGCAGATAACGGTGGCTGAGACATAAATTAAAAAGCAACGCAAGAACCCTACACAGATATGTCCCAGCGTGCTTTAGGTGCTCGACGCTGAGGCCATCGTGGCCTGGTGACTTACCTCTTGCCATATTTTTAATAACAGTGGCAACCTGTTTAGCTGAAAACATTACGGCAAGTTCACCAGAACCCGCCAGTTCCCCTTCCTCGAACACCCGCCGCTCAGATTGTAACAAAGACTGGACTTTAAATTGTCTTTGGAAGAGGTTGGCGATCTCTTTCGGCTCGCTCTGACCCGCCACACTCACAGGGAGACTCGGCTTGACATTTAGTTTATTGGTTGATTTCCAAAACTTAGCAAACTCTTTTTTTGAATGACTATTAGCCAATATATCTAACTTAATTTGTTCTTGATTATTTTGAACAAATTTTAATTTAGTCTTAAATGTTCTCCGTGTTTCACGCATTTTCTCATATATAGGTCCCTGTGTGGGAGCACCAAGGGATAGCCACGTTTGGTAATACGTACGAGCCTCCCTGTGAGCATCGCTGACATATTTGTTCCAGCCTGTGACATGTTTACGTCGCTTGATGCGCTCACTACCGACATATGTATGTTGGGCACCCTCTTGAAGAGTTGATACTATTTCCAAATACAGACTGTTTATTAATAATAAATGCTCTGAATTATTACACATTTTGTGAGAACAAGTAACACATTGTTCGGGCAAATCTATTAATTTTAATTTGTCATTACAATACTCATAATAGTCATTAATTTGTTCACTATTTCTTTCACCCCACCGTACTTTGTTACTATGAGGATTATGAGTTGATAACATCTGGTTAATTTTAGTCAAGTTACATTCAAATAGAATAGGATAGTGATCAGACTGGTAAACTCCACATGAGACTGATGCCTTATTAATCAACTTTTTAGCTGCGCTTGTTATTAAACAATGATCTAGCCAACGGCGTGAGCCGCTAGCCTGACAAACAAACGTGTGTGTATCCTTCGGTAAAAGCTCATAGTCGGCGCAAAACCATGTCTGCTCACTGCAAACTGACATAAGTTCGGTGAAAAACCGCGAGCCCGGGTTGGCATTAAAGTCCCCTAGTATAATTACACATTCAATACTACTACTCTCAAATATGGCTACAATCTCACTGAGTGTTTGTGTAAATAAAGTCAAATTTTCACTCTTACCGTTATCGTATGGCATATACACTGAAAATATCAACATAGGGCGATTTTCATATTCAACTTTTATTGCAACTAATCGATCACTTGAACATTTTACTGTTGAAACAGACGGAAACACAGACTTTTTCCATAGTAATGCCACTCCGCCGTACGGTCTTCCCGTGATCACCTTGAGAGACGTGTCAATGGCTGACTTACCATTGTACGCGAAGCTGTCATCTATGCTTCCCAAGAATCCTACATCGTGTGGCCATATCCAGGTCTCCTGGAGTGCAATGATGTCAGCACTCTTACATAACTTTCTCACACATTCAACCGACCTGTTCACACCTTTACAGTTAAAAGTAGATAATGTGATTTTACTGTTATCATTCATTAGAGCCATTATTTGTAGGTATCTTGTTTGTAGCTGGGAGCTGAGTCTCGTACGAATCCTTATTCTTTTTAAAGAACATAAATCGTCTAAAGCGTATTCCTTCCGGCCAAATGCTATCGTCTAAAAAGGTGTCTAATTTATTTTTAGAGACGTATACCTTAAACGCATTATATGTTCTCTCCGCCTTCATATTAATTTTTTCCAGCTTTACAGTTACCTGAGTCTTGCTTTTAATGTAATCACAAATATCGGTTTCAGATGTGCGTTTGTCAACATTTGAAACAAAAAGCGGGACAAATGATTCCGCTGCTTTAAAGTTTTCCGTTGGGACAGTGTGAGCCTTACCAGTCTTACCAGCGAATCGGTTTTTAATTTTTTTATTTTGAACAACTGTCCACTGACCATCGTGTTCCATCCCTTTCCACTCACCCCTGCTTACTACTTCAGCCATAGTTAAGTGTTTACTTGGAATCTCCGGAACATTCTTAACATTTCTTCCCAACAAAGTTGAGTTTACGGGATCTAGTGCGACAAAGTCATCCGCCGCCCCGTTTGAGTGACAGAGAGAACGATATTTTAACGAACTGTTTACATCCGGCAAGCTGTTATTCGCGCCGGCACATGTTTCCAGAGCAGCGGCGACAGGGCGTGATGGTGGTACCGTCGCAGAGTGGGCGCACAGTAGCTCGTTCTCACTATCACACGGGACAGGCGTATGCGCAGGCGCAGGTACAGGCGGCGACGACTCAGGCACGCGCGGCAGTCCCATCGGTCCGCTATCCAACAAATACCCTCCTCTTCGCACATTAATATTTGAATTAATATAAGACTCCCTCTTTTGCATACTTTCTAAATCTTCTTTGGTAACATAATTTGCTTTTATTTGATTTATTTCTTCACGCAACAACACTAAATCCTTCAGTAATTTCGTTACGTCAACATGATCAAAACAAACTGGTGGTAATTTCTCTAAGTTGTAGGCCACAAAAACTGGTAATTGATCAGGCTCAGCTGTTTTTAACACCGAAAGCATATCTTCAAGATCCTTTTCTTTTCTCTGTTTACGCCTCGATACAAGCTTAAGCTTTGTTTTCACAGACGAAAACAATAACTTTTTAGCACCGTCAATGTCCTCTTCAGAGAATGCCGATAAACAAATTCTTATTAGGCTTTCATTATCCATAACGTCAAGTTTATTCCGGATAAACGCTAACACTTCACATATTACTACATTACAGTTTGCACACTTGAGCGTATTCACACACTTCACGGACATTGTCATATCCTTTTTTTTCGCAGTGACCGCTCGGTAACGCGCGCGCGCGATGACTGCGATTTAATGATTGATATAGTACGGCCATTTGAGATGTGCCAGATCCGATCTTACGGCAAATATTTGTGACACGCATCTTCTGATCCGTGTTCATTTTGCCCTCCGACACTATAGAGCAAACCTCATTCAACAGGGCATCAATGCTTGACATCCATTTCTGGATCTCCGGCGTCTGTATTACCTCGCTAGGTAAATCATTGTTCTTGGGCAAGGGCGGTTCTTCAACAATGGGCTGATGTTGCCGTGTTGGCGTCGGTGGAGGACTCCTCCGTATTAACTGGCTACAGCCAAACGGGCTTGATACTGGGTTAGACATAGTCACTAACACATATAAACTTTTATAACTATGTTTATAAGTCAAAGATTAGATCATGCTAAGTACACAGTTTGCAAACAATAGGCATGAATCACTCTCGCTCGTGACACACTTAGCGGAAACTACTTACACTACAAAATAATTCTTTATTAGAAATTATATATGATTTCTATTTAATGCATTTTGTCGGATTCCAAAAAAACACGTCTGCTTAGTCAAGCGGTCAACCGTATATGGCCGAGCACACGGCGCCGTGGAGGAGCGGGGGGCCAGACACACGGCGCCGTGGTTGGCGACTGTGTTTTTTCTATGCATCAGTACCGCTCCGGCCGTTGCAATAACCGTACGTGACGCACGTGGCCATACACGTAAAGAAGCGATCTTATAATATCAAGTGTTGGATTAGGGTTCGCGCGATCCATTTGTTAAATACAGACGTTTGAAAAATACACTTTTTTACACTAAAATGACTGACAAGCCAGGACCTTCTAAACGCCGCGTTAGCGTATTAACTTCGGGTTCCAGGGCTAAAAAAGGCCGTAGTTTTAGTGCCGATAGTAGTTTGGATGATTTTGAGTGTTCAAGCGAGGAAGCTCTATTCTCTCAAAGTTGTGATGAAGAGGATGAGAGTGATGAAGAGGAGGTTAGCGACGACAGTTTAGATAGTATTTTTGATATTAGGTGTCGTGTCATACACAAACGTATGGACAGATTTCAATCACCAAGTCATCAGAAAACTTTAAAACCAGTACCCGAAAAGACGTTTACCCGTCCAATGTCTCCAGATCGGCACATGGCAACCTCACCTTCTATCATACAAGATTATGGTGAGGTACCTGATATACCTGACAATTTATTAAATACTTCTGTAACGCCATCTGTCTCTATGTTAATGTCCGATGTAACATCGATTAACTTTCCCAGTGAAGATATCAAAAACTTGCCACTAAGATCACCTTTGATCGTTACTTCACCAACGGCATCACTGTCACAAACTAGAACTGTAAGGCTAGATGACCAACCATCTCCAGAAGGAGCTACATCTTTTTCTTGGCAATTCACCAAAACCCAGGAATTACTAGTTCCAAGTCCTTCTGATCCATTTGAGGCATTCCGGTTACTATTAAACGATAATATTCTAGATTTGATAGTGCGTGAAACTAATGCAAATGCCATTCGAGTACTGAAAGCCCCTGGTGTCAAACAACACTCACGAATAATGTCCTGGAAAGATATGACACGAACTGAATTATTAACATTTCTTGGGTTAGTCCTTCACACAGGTACAATCCGGCTGAACAGACTCGGCGATTACTGGAAAAAGCATTGGTTATTTAATATTCCTTGCTTTGAAGAATATATGTCACGCAACCGTTTTATGCTAATATTGCGTTGCCTTCATGTTTCATCTGAAGCAAATGAAGAAGACCGACTGAGCAAAATTCGTCCAATAGTAGATCATTTCAACAATCGAATGAATGATATTTATTACCCAGGCAAACAGCTTTCACTTGATGAATCGATGGTGTTGTGGCGTTTACGTCTCCGTTTAGGCAATAAATTAAAAATAAGCGCTATAAGTATGGAGTGAAGTTATACGTACTTGCAGAACCAAAAGGCACAGTACTCAAATTTCAACTATACGGTGGTGCAGGTGATGATACGTCCGGAATAGGACACACTCAAAAAATAGTTGTAAAGCTACTTGAAGAGAAATTGGACTTGGGACACAGTGTTTATATGGACAATTACTATAACTCCTACGATCTAGCTGTCAAATTATTAAATCGCCAAACTTACTGCACGGGTACTTTAAACAAAAATCGAAAAGGTAATCCAAAGAAAAGGTAAATAGACCTTGTTACTGTCACGTTGCGTAAAGGAGAAAACAAGTCTTTGTTTTTAAATGGTGTACATGTAGGCAAGTGGAAAGATAGGCGATACGTGCTTTATATATCGACAGAGCACGATGGCGAAATGATTGAAGTCACCAACAAAAGAGGCACTGCTATCGTAAAACCATCAGCAATTATACATTACAACAAGTTTATGTCTGGTGTTGATTTGCAAGACCAAATGCTTTCGAATTACCCTTGCGAAAGAAAAACCTTGCGATGGTATAAAAAGATATTCATCCACACACTGCAGATGAGTTTGAGTAATACGTTCCATATATATCATAAATTTAGTACGAATAGGCAAATGAAGGCTGAGAAAATGCCAACCAATCATATTTTAACCAAAATTGAAAACGTAAAAACGCGGCAAAAGAAAGAGGGTAACAAGACAAGAACTATCACGGAAGTAGTAAGAAAAGAATGTAAAGGCTGCAGAGAAAGGAAGAACAGGGTTGCCACTTTGTATGAATGTAGAAGCTGCGTTGGAAAGCCAGGCTTTTGTATAGAAGGTTTTTTTGAAGTGCATGTATAATTTCATAATAATCTTGGTTTGTTTTTTATTTTCAGTTAAACTTCTGGTGATTATTAATTTGTTTTATTTCTAATATCATTCTATATCAAATAATTAAGCCAAAAAGCATAAATAAAACATCACACAATGAAAAAAAAGCAATTACACGGCGCCGTGTGTTTGGCTGCCCAAAGCTCCGTAGGCCAAGTACACGGCGCCGTGAAAGTGCATTTTTTTTTAAATAAAGGTAGTTATGTTATAATTATTATCAAAACTTACACATAATACTCAATTACAAATAATATAAACATTCAAAACGTATGGCCACAGTAGTACAGTCATTACCAACTGCACAGGTACAGAGATGCATCTCATAATGCAAGTGGCATTGAATGTGTTAAAGGCACTTTTTTGAGAGGTGGAAGATGTCGATCTCGTCAAAATTAATATTGTAACAGCTAGGCAAACGAGTGAGAACAGAATTCTTAGCATAATTGGTGCGGTGCAGAGGAACACTGAACAGGCGCGTATGTCTAGTACGAGCCCCGGGTGCATTCAAGCTAATATTAGAGAGAAGTTCGATACTATCAATTTCACCTCGAATGATAGCGAACAAAATGCTCATGTCTAGTAACACACGCCTACTAGATAGAGGCAGCAGATCATAGTGCTTGCAGTCGTCAAGATATGATAAATGTCGTCTCCTTGTCTTAAAATTTAGATGTCTCACGAAACGTTTTTGAATTCTCTCAATTTTATCTGTGTATGTAACATATTGGGGAGACCAAACAGGACTGCCATAGTCAAGTACACTTTGCACGTATGCGCGATAAACAGTTTTAAGGCAGTTGATATTCTTAAATTTAGCGCACGTACGCATAACGAAGCCTAGATTTCTGAATGCCTTACTGGTAATGGTGTCTATATGACGAGAAAAAAGCATTTTGGAATCCAACACTACCCCCAGGTCTCTTACATGATCTACCCTAGTGATAACATTATCACCGAATTTGTATGTGTACTTGATAGGACTTTTACGACGACTAAAAGTTATGCACTGACATTTATCAATGTTAACCGTAATTTTATTGCGTTTATAATATGAGAACAATGCGTCCAGATCCCGTTGCACCAACTCACAGTCAAGTGTAGATTTAATTTTGAAATATATTTTTTTATCATCAGCATACATTAGATGCCTCGAATTACCAAAACACTTGTCTATGTCATACAAGTAAGCACAATAGAGAAGAGGCCCGAGGTGAGACCCCTGCGGTACTCCAGAGGGATATTGATGAAATTAGATTTAAAGCCCCCCACAGTTACAGCTTGTGAGCGGTTCGTTAAGTACGACCTTTTTTTTTTTTTTTTTTACGTGTGGAAATCCCCTCGGACCGTCACCCCGCCGGGGCTCTCGTTCGGCGGGGCGGTGTGTCGGACTCGAACCGACTAAAACCACACGGTGTGCCCTCTTTGCGCTTCCAGTTTAGGAGGGATCCAGGTAGCTATCTCCTTCTGGACCCCTCCCAGCGCCGGCCCGCTCCTGATGCGGGCTCCGTCTCAGTGGACCCTCTCTTTAGGCGACGTCCGGCACACGCGGACGCCGCCCCCTCGCGGCTGGCCAACTAATGCGGGTGGAGGGGAGAACCCATCCCGTCCACCCGCGGCCACACTCAGGGCGGCATGAGGCGCAGGTAAGCGCGCCTCCGCCGCCCGGTTCGCCGGCGGCGGATCAGGTCCGAGTGGAGGTCGTCCTCCCGGGCCTTCTCCGCCGCCTCCTTCTGCGAGATTACCTCCTCGCAGAAGGTTGCGACCGCGGTAAAACAACTGTCGCTACCGGTCATGGAGCGAATTACGGCCGGTAGCGAGAGATCTGCTCCGATGACTGCAGTGAGGGCCCGGCGCTGCGTCGCCCATGCGGGGCAAACCGCCAGCGTGTGCTGGGCCGAATCCTCACTGCAGTCGCAGTGGTGGCAGGCGGGATTCGATTCCCTCCTAGCGACCGAGTACAGGTACTTGCCGAAGCAACCGTGCCCGGAAAGCACCTGCGTCAGCCGGAAGGAAAGGGTCCCGTGCTGCCGCCCTGCCCACTCGGCGATGACCGGCTGGAGAGCCTCCACAGCGGCGAAGCCAGCGCGTGGAGTCTCCAGCCGGAACGACCATCTCACCATGGTGGCTCGGCGAGCGGCTTCGCGCCACTCGCGCACGTCTTCGGGCGGAGGCCGAAATCCGCTCTCCGCCCGGAAGTCAGCCACTCGCCGATAAACTTCGGCGAGCACTTCCGCCTCCAAATCCCACGGGGGTGTTCCGGCCAAGGCACAGGCCGCCTTGGTGGACACCGTGCGGTATCCGCGTATGGCTCTGACCGCCAATATCCTCTGGGGGCGCCAGAGGCGCGCCCTATTCGGGGCGGTCAGAGCCGCCACCCACACCGGTGCACCATACAGCGCCATGGACCGGACAACCCCCGCGTACAGCCGCCTCGTGGGAACACTGGCCCCGCCCAAATTGGGCAAAAGTCGCCCTAGGGCGGAGGCAGTGTCCACCAGCTTCGGACCAAGCTGTCGGAAGTGCTCGTCGAAGAGCCACCTACCGTCTAGGACCAGACCCAGATACCTCATCTGGGCCCGGACCGGTACGAGGACCGAGCCGACCTCGATTGAGGCACCGGCGGGCGGACCACGACGGGGCCCATGAAATAATAGGGCCTCCGTCTTATCCAGGGCCACCCGTAATCCCAACGCCTCAATGCGCCCGACCACCTGGGAAACTCCCGTGGCGACCAGGCGCGCCGCCTCCTGGAAGTTAGCCCCAAGGGCCGTGAGTAAGGTGTCATCCGCGTAGCAGATTACACCCAGCCCGGGGGGATGTCCAAGGACATCGCCAACACCATTCCGCCGCAGCTCACGGCCTCCTCGGTCACGGCCCTAAGGCGCATTACGGCATCGATCGTCGAACGCCCCTCTCGGAAACCGAATTGGGCGTCCGACAGATCGGGGCCAACCTCGCAAAGGTGCCGGACGATGCGGGCAGAGAGCACCCTCTCAAAAAGTTTGCCCGCCTCGTCCAGCAACACGATAGGCCTATAGGCCGCGACCGATTCGGCAGGCCGTCCCGGCTTCTGCAGCAGGACCAGCTTCCCGCATTTCCAGCGCTCAGGGAAGCGTCCGGACGCCAGGCTAGCGTCCAACACCCCCCCTGAGGTGGTCCGACATGTAGTCGAGGGCTCGGGCCATCACTCGGGCTGGAACCCCGTCCGGCCCGGGAGCGGTGTTCTTGGATCGAATCCGTAGAACAGCCGCCCCCAACTCCGATTCCCTGACGGGCGGAACATCAGCCTCGCTGCTCCCGTCGTCTCCGGCTGATGCAGCCATCGACGGGGGTGTGTGCTCCGCCCTCTGCGGGAGTAGGCCCTCGACCACTTCCTGCAGGAAGCTGGGCTGGAGAGTCTCCGTAAGGGGGGGGGGCCCGACGTGCGGAGCTTTTGACGCACCGCACGATAAGGGCGACCCCAGGGGTCACGCTCGAGACTCTCCAGCATCTCCTCTCTACACGCATCCTTGGCGCGGCAGATGGCCAGCCTCAGAGTTTTCCGAGCTTCTCGGTACTCCTCATGAAGCCGGTCCACCTCCTCACCGACCCCGCGGTGACGTCGCCGACTACGGGTGAGGGACCTCCGGGCACGTACACAGGCCGCACGGAGGTCCGCCAACTCCTGGGACCACCAGTAGACCTCCTTCCTTGGAGGCCGACAACCACGAACGCGGGGCATGGCCGCATCGCAAATCTGCGTAATCGCATCGCAGAAGCGACCAGCCCCCATGTCGATCTCCTCGGTCGGGGCCTGCGGAGACAGCCAAGAGTGAATAATGGCCGCCTCCTCTAGTAGGTCCCTCTCGAGCTTGGCGACAGCCCACCGCGGGAAGCGGGAAGGGCGCCGCGCTGCGTGACCCCTACTTGGGGTCCTGGGACCGGGAGAGCTCGAATCGGATGTACAAATGATCCGAGAGCGTCTCGACCTCTTCCAGGACACACCAGTTCCTTAAAGAACGAAAGGTCCACTATCGACCCCCCCTGCTGTCGCACGCACGTGTTGGTGGAGCCTCTGTTCAGCAAACAGAGGCCCACCGACGCCGCCCACTCCTCGACGGCTTCGCCCCTGGCGTCCGTCGCAGGGGAACC